CAGACCCGAAGTTCACTCCCCCCAACGTCATAAGGCATGCACATGTCAGTATAATTTTCCAATTGTCACTCACCTGACCCTAAATAAACCTTCTGATCATCACTTCAATTAATCGCATAGGGATTTAGGCAAGATCGTGGTCTGTATAGCATAAGCGGGGATAGTCACGAGGACGAATTTGGCTAAAGTTAAACACTCTACAAAGGAAAAAAGGTGAACGTTCTAGCCAGATAGCTTTTAGATAATCTTCTTAAGGATGTAATGATAAATATTTTTATTTACTCCTTATGTAATGATAAATATTTTTATTTACTCTTTCATGTAGCAAGAGAACTCCCAAATACTTACCAAGATTATTGGAGACTTGAAACTCAAACATCTTGCAAAGACAGCTAGCATCACCCGTGGTAACATTGCAAGAAAAGAAAGTAAGTGTTTTGGTCGCACTCACTTTGTGGCCTGAGCTGGCACAAAAATCCTTTAAGACTTTCTTTATAACCTGAGTCTGGTCCTCAGTAGTTTTCCCAAGAAGTAACAAGTCATCTGCAAAGAAGATGTGTGAGAGGGCAGGACCCTCCTTACCAAGGCGCATCGGCTTTCACGTACCATTTCTTACTCAGTTGTTTATGCAATGGGATAGTCATTCTATACATAACACAAATATATAGGGTGAAAGCGGTTCCCTTTATCGAATGCCTCTAGTAGGCCAGAACTCCTAGATGAGACAGTCGTTCCACAACAATTGCATAAAATAAAAGGAGATACACTGCATGATGATTCTTATAAGGTTAGGAGGGAGACCAACACCAAGCAAAGTGTCCTCCACATATTCCCAACAGATGTGACCATAAGATTTTTCTAAGTCCACCTTAATAGTCATCCACTTGTCTTTCTCCTGCAAATTTCGCAAAGAGTGGACCACTTCTTAGGCAATAATAATGTTATCCGTGATATTCCTACCGGTTATAAAGCTAGCTTGAGTAGGGCCAACCAAAAAAGGCATAAAATGCTTGAGTCTATTGGCAATGAGTTTAGTAACGATTTTATATAACACTATTAATAAGCTGATCAGATGAAATTCTTTAATAGTTTCTAGTCTAGTATCTTTTGGGATGAAGGTAATAAGGGTTTTGTTGATCTCAGCAGGTACTTGTTCTCTATAGAAGATACCCTTGATCATTGTACATACCAACTCGCCTACAGTCTCCCATTAGTTTTGGAAGAACGCCACATGAAAGTCATCCACACCGGGGGCCTTCAACAGGTGCATACTAAATAAAGTGTCATAAATTTCATGATTCATAATCTCAGAGTCCAACTGAACGACCATAATCGTTGTTAACTTTGGGAACAAGCCTCTAACATGATACTATAATATGTGTCCCTCTTCGGCTATATAAAGGTTCTCAAAGAAGGTGGCCATTATCCGAAGCTGGCCTTCATCGATACTCTAGTTACCATCTTCATCCTTAAGCATATTAATTTTGTTCTTTTTTCTTCTAGAGATAGTTTGGGTGTAAAAGTATTTGGTGTTTCTATCCCCTAGAAAAATCCAATTGCATCAAGATTTTTGTTTCCAGAGCATTTCTTTTTGCAGTAACGCCCCTCTCTAATTCTTCTTTCAAGGAATTTTCGGCTTTTGGAGCCGAACAGAGTGGTGTCTCTCCAATGCTCGTTGGATCCCATCCAGTCTTGCCATGAGGATATGTTTTCTCTTAATGATGTGACCAAACACATTTCTATTCCAATCATGTATAGTCTCCCTGAAGTTACTAATGTTCTCCTAGATATGAAGATGGTTTTGCCAATTTCTCCTAAGTAAGTTGGGAAAATCGGGGTGGGACAGCCACACAGCTAAAAAGCGAAAGGGCTTGGGATCCTTATTGTGAGACTGACGGATGTAAGGGATAATCAGGATAGGCCTATGATCATATTGCACTTTTTGAAGGCAATAATCGATGGCCTCCGAAAAGTGGTTGAATCATCTTTGGTTACAGAGCTCTATCAAGTCGTTGAAAAAGAGTCCCACGTC